ATCCCTTCCACAAAGGAGTTCATCACCACCAAACCAGTATTATATGAAATGCTGAAAGGTATCCTTTAAGAAGAGGAAGAAGAAAAGGTAAAGATACAAATTATGAACAACAAACATGCATCTATCAACAAGTGAATCTAAAAATTAAGTCAATAAAAAAAATCTGATGAACAGAATAATCTGGTGAATATAATAGGAGCAGGGGCATAGAAAGGGAGTGGACTGGTAATTCTCAGGGGGAAGGGGGTGTGAAGGGTGCGGGAAGAAATTGGACAAAAATCTTACACCTATGGATGAGGACAGTGGTGGGGGATAAAGGCATGGGGTGGGGCGGGAACCAGGTGGCGGGGAGCTATGGGGGGAAAAAGAGGAACATCTGTAATAACCTGAACAATAAAGATTTATTTAAAAATAAATAAATAAGTAAAAATAAACTTGAGAAGCTAGCATGGAGGCAAAAGAGTTGTTCACTTTCTTGAAATTCATTTAATTATAGGCCTTTTACTCACAACTGCACTTAAATGCAGGTTCAATAGATAACATTTAAACATTTAAAGCAGTTTATAATAAGCTTGCCACCAGCATTATTCTGGTAGGTTTGTCTGTGTTAAATCTGTCTCTGTGTTTTTTTGATTTTAAACTTTAAAGTCTAATTTTAGGAGAGATTAATTCTGATGTGTACCAGTGTGTATTTTGCAAAATGTTCTGCATTAAAAAAATGTGCTGGTATATTGTCCATTGTTTGTGAGTATGCCCAATTGATGTGATCACATTTTCACTGTCTTATAAAGCCTTGGCGATCAAAAGGGGAAAGCAGATATTGTGAATCTTTCTGTGAATTTTAAAAGTGCAAAATAAAGCAACAAGGTTTAAATAAATAAATAACCTCTGTGGGAGTCACTCCTCTTACCTTCACTTTCATGGAAATTGAAGTCCCTGGAATTTACTAAAATACCTGAGGTCCCCATGGCACTGGGACCAAGATTCAAACCCAGGAAGTGTGACTCCAGAGCCCCCTCTTAACAGCTCCACATGGGTCTGAATCCTCACAACTATCCCATCACACAGGGTCATACAGCACCCATTAATCAGATGGCAAAACTGAGGGACGGAGGCACTTATCCAAGGTCCAACTGCCTTCAATCAGGGGGAGTCTCTTACCCAAATCCGCCTGTGTTGACCAAGGCTGCCAACCTGCAAACAGAGGAAAGAGGTCATTAGATGCACCTGAAATCAGGCAGGAAGCACCCTGTCACCCAGCCAGTCCCCATGTTTCCCTAAGTGCCAACGATTTCTTTCTCTTTTTTTTGTTAATATATTTTTATTGATTTCAGGGAGGAAGGGAGAGAAGAGAGAGATAGAAACACCAATGTTGAGAGAGAATCATCGAGCGGCTGCCTCCTTTACACCTCCTACTGGGGATCGAGCCCACAACCTGGGCATGTGCCCCTGACTGGAATCCAACCCGGGACCCTTCAGTCCACAGTCTGATGCTCTAACCCAGTGATGGAGAGCCTATGACATGA